GAAGTTGTTGACTGTTGAGGGTGGAAAGGCCTTGCAGAGAGATCTGGACAGATTGGAGAGCTGGGCGATCACCAACCGCATGAAGTTTTACAAGAGCAAGTGCCGGATCCTGCACCGGGGACGGGGCAACCCTGGTTATATGTACAGACTGGGCGATGAGATGCTGGAGAGCAGCTCTGCAGAGACGGATCTAGGGGGGTCGTGGTTGACAGCAAGTTGAGTATGAGCCAGCAGTGTGCCCTGGCAGCCAGGAGGGCCAACCATACCCTGGGGTGCATCAAGCACAGCACTGCTAGTCGGTTGAGGGAGGTGATTGTCCTGCACTGCTCCGCGCTGTGCGGCCTCACCTCGAGCACTGTGTGCAGTTCTGGGCACCACAGTACAAAAAGAACATTAAACTGTTGGAGAGTGTCCAGAGAAGAGCTACGAAGATGGTGAAGGGCCTTGAGGGGAAGACATATGAGGAGCGGCTGAGGGCACTGGGCCCGTGCGGCCTGGAAAGGAGCAGGCTGAGGGGAGACCTCATCGCAGTCTACAGCTTCCTCATGAAAGAATCATAGAAACACAAGGTTGGAAAGGACCCACAGGATCATCTAGTCCAACCATCCTTCTATTACCATTACTACCTATTACTAAAATAGCAGTAAGCACAAATGAAAGCTTAAGAACACTTTCTATTACTATAAAAATAAATAATTTGTAATACATGGTTAGTAATATTTAGCAAACAGTGAAACAGTGCGCTACCACCATCACAACGGCCTATTACCCCTTCTAGCTTCAGAGGCATCCTTATACATCCAAAATAGAGAGGAGGATATCAACTATATGGATCTCTCTCAGCAGTGGTTTCACAACAATTAGAAAGAAGAAACAGTTGCTGAGAAGCCACAACAAGCTCAAGTTAATTTCTGGACTTTGAATAATTACTCCTTCAGTTCTCTCTCTCTCTTAGTAGAGCACGCTCCTGACTAACTTGTACAGTGCACTCTGAATAGGAGAGATTTGTTTGCCTAAGCTAAAGGAAGAAATAGAAAACCAAAAAAGCTACTTAACTTTTAACACTTAAATTAAATGTTAAGTTACAAAAGTTCACAGGCCATGAGATAACATAAATAAATCCCTTCTCGAGCTAAAAGATCTCATTTTTTTTTTTTCAGGAGCGGCCTCCCTGAATCTAAATAATCCTCTCACAGGCAGAACAGAGTGTCTGTTCTAACTCTTTATCAGATGTGGAAGAAGAGATCGAGATGACCAGTGCCTAAAAAAAAGAGGCACTCTCTTTTCAAGGCAGACTGATCGGCACAACAAATTTCATCTGTTCTCAAGCACAAGCAACTCTAAGATAAATGGGTTCAAGGATCTTCAACGTGAAGAGTGAATATCCAAGCGTATACTGGGAACACCTGACTTGGACCATGGACGCCTCGCACAGATTTCTGAGGAGTTCGGACAACTCCGAAATCATCTTTTACAGGAAGAGACCAGAGAATTTGACTCAGTGTAAAACTGGCACAGGCAGAAATCTCCCCAATTACAGATGCTCAAGCGCATTAGTTAAAAAGAGATTAGAGTGTGACTAGAGAGAAGTCTCAAACTCTTGTTATATACTTAAATTTCTCTCCAAGGATGGAACAACTGCTATCACCGTGCATGACTGGCTGTAGAGGGAGAGAGCGAGTGAAAGACTTAGAAAAGCACCTTCCCTTCGTAGTCCTCCCGCTCCCAAAATGGTTCCCAAGGAAAACTACTGACAGACTAAGGTTAACTGCTTTGAAAGGGCTGTGTGGGTGGACCCATTGTCTTCAAGTTCAAGTTTTTTCCTGCAGAAACTGCCAACAGTTATGCCAAATATAACAATTGTTTTGCAAGGTGGATAAACGTCTTCCAGACTGAAAGGGAGAAGTCGTACTGTTGTTGTCTGTGCACAGACAGCTAAGCAGTGAAGAGCAATGCTAAACAACCACGATACCCCAGAACACACAAGTACTGCGTAACAGTGACAGAAAGTGCTAGAATTCAAAACAAAAATTACCTCCACCATATCGGTTTTGTCGTAGTCTTCTCTCTGGTTGTAAATACACTGATTAATGACGCCATATACTTTTTCCAGGTGATAAATGTCAAATCCCTTCGTTATCTCAGTGACAAAGCATAACAATTTCTGAAGACAACAATGGAGCAAAACAACAACTTTAGAATAGTACAAGATCCTTTGAATACGCTCTATATGTTTTCGGAGGTTGAACAGTAACAATACAAGTGAGAGCCTACTTTTTCTTACGCTATTAAATAAAATGTGACACTTCAGAGAACAGATTAAATATCCCATGAGATTTCAGCAGGGAAAATGAGTTATTTTTTCATATTTCAGAGAAAGGAAAGGCTGAAATTTTGGACAATCTTTTACTACTAACCAATCTATCACATCAATGGTTGTAATTGCAAGTCGACTGCTCCCAAAGCAGTAGGGAATGACACGATCCTCTTTGTAGGACAGCTGCTGCCACAGCAAAGCCACTGTTGCATTTCATTAGAGAAGCATTGCAGCAGCGCGGGGCACTGTAAAAAGGCTGCAGATCTTGTAGATACAGCTATGCCAGCTGGAAAAGGAAGCACCCTTAGGTGATTACCTTTACCCACGTGTGCCATGCCTACAACTCTGCTGGCAGAACAGATTGCTCAAACGCCCAGAGCAAAGGTGGATTAGTTTGCTCAATCCTACCTTTAAATTCAGGGGTGGGTAAATAGCAAAGCGACTGCTTGTAGCAATCACCTCTCTCTCACACAGTCATTTCTATTACCAAAGATGCAGAGATGATAATCTCTGGCACAGCAACAGTGACAAGCTAGTGGCAGCACCTTCTTCCACTGCCACAGCTGTCCATTACCTGTGTGAGCCTGCAAGCATGTAGCTTTAGGGAGCAGCCATACCAAATGGAAATACTACTGCCCCCTGGAAATAATGCTGCTTATCATCTTATCAGCAAACTCTGCCTCCCTCATGTATCTATATCTATCTATCTATCTATATATATATATACACACACACAATATAAGAAATTCTAATACTGCACTTTCAAGGAATTTCAGAAAAGTAGTCACTTCTCCATGGCTAGCTAGTTTACGTCAACCTGCTAACTTCAGGTTTAATATCATCACTGCAAGAAATAAAGATCCTTTTCAGGTTCTTAATACATCAAAGCATGAAAAAAAATCCCCAAATAAAAGCCCTCAAACCCATCATAAGAATTATGAATCATTAAAATGATATCCATAATAGTACTAGCAGGTTGTCAGTGTGGTATTTTAAAATTCAGCAAGGCCTTTTGTCTGAAAAATTAGGCAAAGAATCTGTCTACTAAAGTACAGATGACCAGAAGCAAATGGTAGCCTACAGAAATCTACATGAGGTGTGGAAACTAAACAGTCACAGTGCATTACAGGTTGAATTATTTCACTGTCTGTATGGCCTTCCAATTAATTGTTTTAATTGGCATTGGTTAACAATGGGCTTAATTTGCAATTTTACATGACGCAGGAATATGTCCTATTTGAGCATTAAAAAAAAGGTGAAATTAGACATACTTTGAGCTCATAGCGATCCACAATAACTATGTAGTCTGTCTCCGTAGGGACTTGTACAGTGTTCTCATCACTTATCTGTTGTTGGTCTTCTTCCCAAGAACGTTCAGGAGTCACCGCTTGAAATGCCCAGGAATCTGGAAGGACACAGATTTCTTCAGTCAGGTTTTCTGTTTATCTAGAATACAGTCTCAGTGAAGTATCCTGTACCAGCCAAACAGTCTCTTTCTACAAATACAGAGACAGAATTGTTATCGTCTTCACTGAGAAATACTTGGCTTCTCCCTTCTTTCTAGCTAAAGTCACTGCTCCATAAAAATTAGAAACTAAGACAAAAAAAGCAAACAAAAATACCCACAAACAAACCAAAAGCACTAATGAAAAGCTTAATAGTGGAAAAAAATAGTCATGTTGCCAATTCAGGGCTCAGAGTCTCAGAGCGCGTGGTGAAAGGTGACCCCCAGCTGGCTGGAGGAAGCTGAGGCAGCGTTCAGCTCTAACCTTTGCCTTCTTGGCTGGCATCTTTGCACTCCTGCTGTCAGTGGGTGTTGAGTGTCCTTCCTCCCAGCCTCAGAACGTGCCCTCAGATGTAGGCAGCGTTTAGCAGCTAGAATTCACTCCAATATAAAGAGTACAAATCATGCGTTTTCTGCTTTTGCTTTGGAACTCTTAGCTTGAGGTTTTCCTGCAGGCCATGAGGTTTCTTGCAGCAGCAGGGATGAGTTCTGTTAGCAAGAGGCTGTTCTGTGCTTCGACTGTGGGAAGATGAATGGTTACCTGTGCACCGTGAAATAGAACTTGACACCTAGCACACCGCACTTGCAGCCTGTGGGGTGCTTTAACAAGCAGGTAAATCAGCAGAGGCTGTTTTGCAGCCGGGGTGATGCTGGGTGATTAAAAAGCAGGGGCAGAACAAGGAGTTTCTAGTGTTTGTTCTTGCTTGTCATCCGACTCTCCACTTCCACTGTTCGTTAGAAAAAAAAAAAAACAAAAAAACAAAAAACAAGGGGGTAAGCATCTTAATATCTTTATTGTAAATGGAAGGCACAAAACAGACCAGCAACAGAGACTGTCCAAGAGAAATACTTGGTGCTTTATAAACAAACAAGGAAGTACCCTTAGGTAGGGTGTGATAATCCTTCTCTAACGCGTTTTTGGAGTGCAAAAATAGATTTGTTCCTTTCTTGCTCTTCTCTCCAGGACAAAGGCAGAATAGCCAACTGCAAAGTTAGACCAGGGAGGTCAGTTTGTTCCATACTGAGAAAGACAAGCCTGTAAAACAAACTAGACAGATTTTCTTTGTGTTATTTGTCTTCCTTCAGCAAAGGCAAAGCTTATGCCACTTGTTGGTGTGTATTTCCAGAATTTGGGAAAAAGGCTTTGCTCTCTTTGAGAGACTGATAACTTGATTTGATTAACTGAAGACAGCTGGAAAACTGTTGGTTCCTCATTATTTTTCACTTGTTACTTTCTTTAGGGTTACTTTTCAAAAGAAGATTTCACTGATCACAAGCCAGTAGAAGACTTTCAGCCCAAGCAAGGGTGAAGACAGCTCTCTCCAAGAGCAGAGGAAGTCCCTGTGGAGAGAACCCGAGCTTGTTAGCAGAACTCGTCGTCATGTCTAAACAAGGAGACGATTGCTACTTCTATTTCTATTCTACCTGTACCAAGGTATGGCTGGCTTTCCTTTGCTTTGCTTTTTTTCCCCATTTTTTTCAGGAAGGAGTAGATTAGGAGGAGGAAGCACACTGGTCTTTGGTTAACTTGAGAACCAGATAGATTCTGAATTCAGTTGTAGCAACATTAGGCAGCAGCATGGCCATTTTTGAGGCTGTACTCTATTTTCCTTGTTGGTTTCCTTTTGGTTCCAGGGAGACAAATGTGCCTACCGCCACTGCGAAGCTGCTCTGGGCAATGAGACGGTCTGCAAGCTGTGGCAGGAGGGTCGTTGTTTCAGGAATGTCTGCCGATTCAGACACATGGAAATTGACGTGAGTGCCTAACGATGTGTTCTCAAAATCAATCAACAAAAGCATTTTTCAGTGCCGTAGGTGTACTGATTGTGCTTTTGCAGGATAGATTCGTTTGCTTCAAAATCATACTGGTTTCTGTTACCAAGAGAGGGGGTGGGAGGAAGCAGAGGGAAATAAAATCAATGCCTTAGGTGTGTCTTAGCAAGATATATATATATATATATATATTTATTAGATGCTGACAGTTTTCTCAACAGATGCAGAATAGCTGTTAAATAGACTGCTAAAACCTGCTGGAGCAGGGGGGTAATAAACAGGCTGTTCTATCCTCATGGGAGCAGGCTTGATAATGAACTCTCAGGTCTCTTCTGACCCACAGTCCTTCCGATAACGCTGTTCTAGCTGCCTGGGGTAGGAAGTGGGGAAAGTTAAAGGTGCAGAAGAACTAATGTCTCCAAGAAGTAGTTCTAGACAGGGTTAACCTAGGCAATTTCAGATGTTCTTTTTCCCTCTGAATAATGCCTAGTATAATCCTAGGTGTATTAGTTTAAGCCCACCCTCAACTGATGTCTGAGAGTGCCTGTCTTCTCAAACTGAATGATGACAAATCTAAATGTGCATAGTGGTTGCAGCTTATGCAAACTTTGTGAATATGCCCAGAAATACTACACTTAACTGAGAACCTGACCTTTGGAATGATGTTTCAGCACTGTGTTGTGACAGCTGTCAGTGATCTGGAGCTGTGCATCTCTTTGCAAGCCTCAGGTGCATGTTATCACGAGCTTTTCTTTCTTTCTGTCTTCAGAAAAAGCGCAGTGAGATTCCTTGCTACTGGGAGAAGCCAGCCGGGAGGCTGTCAGAAAGCCAACTGTGCTTTTCATCATGCAAAGGGACGTTACATCGATGGACAATTCTTACCACCAAGCAAGAGTGAGTTTAGGTCCTTTTTCTTTAAGCGCTGAAGAATTAATTTGGAGTATTACTTAGTGGGTGCCAATCCTGTAGGGGGCATCAGGTAACTGTTCATTTGTGAGTGCAGGAAAAGGTCTGCAGTCATAGGTGGTACGTTAACCGAGTGTACTGCTGGTGTTTGTTTTCTGCTTTCGTGCTCAGCTTCTCTTGGCTTTGTGTGATGTTTGCCTTGCAGTTTGCTTCCTGTTGTTTCATCTTTTGCTGGGTGGTAGGGAGATGTGTTGTTGTTCGAAGGGAAGTCATTGTTCCCGGTGTAAACAGTGATGGGATGGGCAAAAGGAGATGCTGAATTTGTTGTCTGTGCGGGTTATCTGCCTTTCCTACCATCTCTTTGCATTGTGGTCAAAGTTTTAAACTGCCATATTACCGATGATCCTCCTCTTCCTCTAGCTACACTGCCAAGTCCGCCTGAGTCCGCGGACGATGATTTGAAAGTGGCTCAGATGTCACTGCAGCAAAAGAAACTTTCTGTCCAGTCAAATCCCTCTCCACAGCTAAGGGGGTGATGAAAGTGGAAAACTCTGAAAATGTCCCAAGCCCTACACACCCTCCAGTTGTAATCAATGCTGCAGATGATGATGAAGATGATGATGGTGAGCATGTGTATGGTTCTTGGAAGGAATTTGTGCTGTAAATGAATGTGTTAAATCTTTGGTTCTTGAAGGAATTTGTGCTGTAAATGAATGTGTTAAATCTTTGGTTCTTGAAGGAATCTGTGCTGTAAATGAATGTATAAATCACAGATGACCTGAGGTCTGACTAGCGATAGGGCAGGCAGTCTGGCCAGGTCACTGGTGGCTTTGTCTGGCAGTCAGTGGACAGAACCTGAAACGTTGGAGGAAAGCTTAGAACCACTCCTGGCTTTAGCTGGTCTGTTGTGTAAAGTTCTAGTGTGAAACTAGGAAGGAAATTTCTTTTTTCTGTCTGAAGAGCAATGTGTTGTGTAGTAGTTAAAGCTGCAGAGAGAATCTAGAGTCCTAGATGTTTTGTCCTAGTGTATTCTACTTAGGAGTTTATCAGGTCATGTGTAGCTGTTTAAAAAACAAAACAAAACAAGAGCAACAAAGTTTTTTATATGAAGCATGGGCTGAAGTGTCACTGCATGAGCTACGTAATCATGAACAATCTGGTCTATGCATAACTGAATAGATTTTTCCCCTTCAGACCAGCTTTCTGAGGAAGGAGAAGAAACTAGAACTCCCGTCCAGCAACCAGCTGCGAAAGGCAAAAATGGATTACGGGTGATTTCCACTCGCAAAGGCAGTTCTACTGCTACTAAACAAGGTATTCCAGCACCTTAGTAGGATAAATCAGAAGAACTTGACAGTTAACTCAAAAGCAGTGTGGTGTAAAAACACAACAAAATGTAGGGGTGCTGAATGGACTCAGGTTATTTCCATGATCTCATTTCTGCCATTCATACCATCACGTGCCCATTGGGTCAGAAAGGTGAACTCCTTTTCTTTACTTTTGGAGAACAAAACAGGGCCACAGCAGTGGAGTTGAAATGGCTGCACGTGCAGCCTTGCAACCACTGTTGATAAACCATATCTAACGATAGAGGGATCTAATATGGTGTAAATGGATTAAAATTAAAACTACATTTTTAAGCCTGAAGGATGATAGGGGGGCAAAATGCCCTTGGTTCTCTGGCTCTTTCACTTGTGAGGAGTGTTGACAGGCTTTATTCTAAATACTTCAGAAAGTTCCTGAGCGCTAAGAAGCCTGAGGACCTGTGGTCCCTCAGTTAGTGCCTCTAAGCCAGTCTCATGAACTGTTTCCTGTTTTCAGAGGGCAATCTGAATTTTGGAATAAAAACACTTGAGGAAATCAAATCTCAGAAGATGAAGGAAAAAAATAAGAGACACGGTGGTGAGTTAATATTCCCTACTTTCTTATCCTGTTCACGGCAGGTGATGGTGCCTGGGAGCTGCTTGAGGGACAGACTTCCATTTTTAGCTGGGGGCATCAAGCAACCTGATTCTCAGCCAGCTGGTATTCTAAATGGGAGTTCAAAGGGCAACCAAAGGCAAATTAGTTCCTCTCTTATTTACATGCTCTGCTTGCTGTATTTTTGACAGTAACAAATAATTTAAAGTTTTTTGTTCTTTGTGATAGTTTTTTATGCTGGGTAAACTTCCTTATGTTTTGGTTGCTCTGAACAGAAGGTTCTTCAAGATCTTCTCTTTGTCCTGTTGATTCTATGATTTTTCCTGCTCCAGAAAAGGAAAATGTCCGGACAGTGGTGAGAACTGTGACACTGTCTTCCAAGAAAGGTAGTAAGGAATGCTTTTGTTTTGATTTCATTACTCCTAAACTGGAGGGTTAAGCAATAATTAAAACAATTCACCCGTGTTAGCCTTCTGGTGCTGCCTTCTGTTCAAAATGTGCTTTTATGCTTCAAGTCCCTGGTTGTACTGGAAAGATTTGGTGCTCAGGTTAAGTGCAGTGGCAGGAGAAAAAAAAAAAGTGTCAGTATGCAAATAGGGGGGTAACTGAAAAACAGAAGAGTAACGAGAAGAAAGAGCTGTAGAAGACAGTGCTATATAAGAAGCAATTTCTGAAGCATTAAAGAAGCTGACAGTGGCAGGTGTGGACACAGTATGACAGGAGTTTGTGTATAAATTGTTTAGAGCTGTGCAAATGCCTTTTAAAGGGAAAAAAGTGTGGAAGTACTTTTACTCGTAGACGTTCACCTTAGAAAGGACTATTTCTCAGCATTTGTACCTAATAATATTCTGCTTGCTTATGCAGCTTTGTTCTGCACAAAGTATAGCTGTCAAGCAGATTCAGATTCACTGCTCTACTATCTCAGCTGGAATTTGAAGCAAGCACTGAGACTCTTAATATTTTTTTTCTATGTTAATTATAGTTAAAATATGAGTTTATGTGGTTTAGCTGTCAAAACAGTGTCTGACTGGGGTTTTTTGGACAAGGGCTAACATAATATTTCTGTTGGCTACTGGTTTCTGTGAAATAGAAAAAAAAATTCCCTTTTGTTTTAGGGGAGGAACCTGTGGTTCGACTAGATCTTGCTGATAGACAAGGAAAACGGAAAGCCTCCGCGGGTAAGAACTTTTTATGAGCTGTTACGTAGATGCTGCCTTCTATATATGACTGCATTAAAGAGTATTTTTGAGGTATGAAATGATTGCAGTGGAGATCTGTGTTGACTGCAGAAATGGCAAAAAAAAATAAAAAAAAATCATTTAGCAGCTGAAAGGCAATTCTATGAAAATATGCTTGAAAAATAGAAGCTTATTGTTGACTGTTCTCAAACCTTCCTGCAGAGAAAAGTTCTTACAATATTCCTTGTTTTCTCTGAAGATGATGTAAGCACCGTTCCAGTGAAGCGCAGCCTTGCTGAAAGGCTGGAGAAGAAGGTAGAGGCTCTGGGAAATGCTGACAAAGCACCCAAGAGAGATACAGGTACTAAACGGGCATCTGGATTGGATTCCTGGGTTTTGTATTTAGTCTTTCTGTTTGTCCTTTTCCAGTGATGTTTCTTTTTGCATGTTGGCTGAGGTCGTAATCACTGGGATTCAAAGTTACCTTTCCTGTCTTGTTTTGAACTGTGAACCTGAAGTTGACATTATGCAGCCTCCCTAATTCGTTCTGTTTCTGTTTTGCAGTTCAAGTTGCCAAGTCTCTGAAGGACAGGCTGGGATTACCTCCTAAACAGACCAGCACTGAGAGAGGTAACAGCTAGATATTAAATATGCTTTCTCCTCCTTCCTTTCCATGAACTTGGAGTGCTTTCATCCATCCCTAAAAACTAATTTAAATGAAAACAAAGAACTGATGCCTCTTGCTTGAGTGCTGAAGCTCTTCTGACAGCCACTATCAGAAATCTGTCTCTCGGTGTGTGTTTATTTTCTACTTGTGCATTGTCAAGGTTTTTAGCTGCTTCTGTGAACCGTTACGTACCATTAGAATAGAACCACTGCCAGGAGCAGGAATTTGAAATGCAGTCTGAAAAAGTAATAAAGTAAAGCAGCATTTATGTGTAGCAGTTCTCTCTGGATAGGGCTGGTCTTCAAAATACAAGTGGCTCAGAGGAGGAGGAGAATGTTGTTCTAAGGATATTGTTCAAAGATGCATTATTGGGAACACTCAAGATTAGTTTTCCTTAGTGCTCGGACAAATTTTGGAGACTTAAAATATTGCTGGATGAATGCATTTTCTCGGGCCATATTTTGAATTACTATCCCATTGCGAGTAGGGTTATGATTCGGGTTTCGCGGAAAGAGTGAAAGCAGAGGGTGCACTTGCATGTGGGGCTGTGTGAAAGCTCCCCTGGGGAGTTCAGTTGTACCCAAAGCCTTCCTTTGGGGACACATTTGGATGGGTGAAAGGGGCTTTGAATGCATTTTTTTGGGCCATATTTTCAATTCCTCTCCCATGCTGCGTATGGCTATGTTTCGGGTTGATTAGAAAGAACAAACACAGAGGGTCCAGTTGCATGTGGGGCTGTGTGAAGGCTCCCCTGGGGAGTTCAGTTGTACCCAAAGCCTTCCTTTGGGGGCACTTAAGGATGGGTGAAAGGGGCTTTTAAGGTGTTTTCTGGGGCCCTCTTTGTCATTCGTCTCAGATTCCGGGTAGTGCTATGTTTTGGGTTGCTCAGAAAGAGCGAAGACAGAGTGTCCAGTGGCATGTGTGATTGCGTGAAGGCTCCCCTTGGGAGTTCAGTTTTACCCAAAGACTTCCTTTGGGGGCACCTTTTTATGGGCGAAAGGGGCTTTGAACGCATTTTCTCGGGCCATATTTTGAATTCCTCTCCCATGCCGGGTAGGGTTATGATTCTGGTTGCTCAGAAAGAGCGAACAGAAAGGGTCCATTTGCATGTGGGGCTGCGTGAAGGCTCCCCTGGGGAGTTCAGTTGTACCAAAAGCCTTCCTTTGGGGGCACATTTGGATGGGCGAAAGGGACTTTGTAAGCGTTTTCTGGGGCCCTGTTTTAAAATTGTCTCCCATGCCGGGTAGGGCTATGTTTCTGGTTGCTCAGAAAGAGCGAACAGAAAGGGTCCATTTGCATGTGGGGCTGCGTGAAGGCTCCCCTGGGGAGTTCAGTTGTACCAAAAGCCTTCCTTTGGGGGCACTTTTGGATGGACGAAAGGGTCTTTGAATGCATTTTCTGGGGCCCAATTTTTCATTCGTCTCATATTCTGGGTAGGGTTATGTTTCGGGTTGCTCAGAAAGAGCAAACACAGAGGATCCAGTTGCATGTGGGATTTTGTGAAAGCTCCCCTGGGGAGTTCAGTTGTCCCCAAAGCCTTCCTTTGGTGGCACTTTTGGATGGGCAAATGGGGCTTTGAAGGCGTTTTCTTGGGGCATATTTTGAATTCCTCTCCCATGCCGGGTAGGGCTATGTTTCGGGGTGCTCAAAAAGAGAGAACACAGAGAGTCCAGTTGCATGTTGGGCTGTGTGAAGGCTCCCCTGCGGAGTTCAGTTGTACCCAAAGCCTTCCTTTGGGGCACTTTTGGTTGGGCATAATGGACTTTCTACACATTTTATGGGGCCCTCTTTTGAATTCCTCTCCGAATCCCGGGAAGGATATTATTGGGGTTGCTCAGAAAGAGCGAACACGCAGGGTCCAGTGGCATGTGGGATTGCGTGATGGCTCCCCTGGGGAGTTCCGTTGTACCCAAAACCTTTCTAAGGACACTTTTGGATGGGTGAATGGGTCTTTGAAAGCATTTTCTCGGGCCATATTTTGAATTACTCTCCCATTGCGAGTAGGGTTATGATTCGGGTTTCTCGGAAAGAGTGAAGTCAGAGGGTCCAGTGTCATGTGGGGCTGTGTGAAAGCTCCCCTGGGGAGTTCAGTTGTCCCCAAAGCCTTCCTTTGGGGGAACTTATTGATGGGCGAAAGGGTCTTTGAATGCATTTTCTGGGGCCCAATTTTTCATTGGTCTCAGATTCCGGGTAGGGCTATGTTTCGGGTTTCTCAGGAAGAGCAAAGTCAGAGGGTCCATTTGCATGTGGGGCTGTGTGAAGACTCCCCTGGGGAGTTCAGTTTTACCCAAAGCCTTCCATTGGGGACACTTATGGTTGGCGAAAGGAGTCTTTGAAAGCCTTTTCTCAGGCCATATTTTCAATTCCTCTCCCACGCCAGGTAGAGCTATGTTTCTGGTTGCTCACAAAGGGCGAACACAGAGGGTCCAGTTGCTTGTGGGGCTGCGTGAAGGCTCCCCTGGGGAGTTCATTTGTACCCAAAGCCTTCCTTTGGGGGCACTTTTGGATGGGCGATAGGGTCTTTGAACGCATTTTCTTGGGCCATATATTGATTTCCTTTCCCATACTGGGTATGGATATGTTTCCGGTTGCTCAGAAACAGCGAAGACAGAGGGTCCAGTGGCATGTGGGGCTGCGTGAAGGCTCCCTTGGGGAGTTCAGTTGTACCCAAGGCCTTCCTTTGGGGGCACTTTTGGATGGGCGAAAGGGGCTTTGTACACTTTTTCTGGGGCCATATTTTCAATTCCTTTCCCATGCTGGGTAGGGCTATGTTTCGGTCTGCTCTTAAAGAGAGAACACAGAGAGTCCAGTGGCATTTGGGACTGCGTGAAGGCTCCCCTGGGGAGTTCAGTTTTACCCAAAGCCTTCCTTTCGGGGCACCTTTGGATGGGCGAAAGGGGCATTGAACGCCTTTTCAGGGGCATTATTTTAAATGCTTCTCCGATTCCGGGTATGGATATATTTCGGCTTGCTCAGAAAGAGCGAAGACAGAGGGTCCAGTGGCATGTGGGGCTGCGTGAAGGCTCCCCTGGGGAGTTCAGTTGTACGCAAAGCCTTATTTTGGGGGCACTTTTGGATGGGCGATAGGGTCTTTGACCGTGTTTTCTCGGGCCATATTTTCAATTCCTTTCCCATGCTGGGTCGGGCTATGATTCGGGCTGCTCAGAAACAGCGAAGACAGAGGGTCCAGTTGCATGTGGGGCTGCGTGAAGTCTCCCCTGGGGAGTTCAGTTGTACCCAAAGCCTTTCTAAGGGGGCACTTTTGGATGGGTGAAAGGGGCTTTGTACGCATTTTCTGGGGCGCTATTTTTCACTCGTCTCAGATTCCAGGGAGGGCTATGGTTCGCGTTGATAGAAAGAGCGAAGACAGAGGGTCCAGTTGCATGTGGGATTTCGTGAAGGCTCCCGTGGGGAGTTCAGTTGTACCCAAAGCCTTCCTTTGGGAGCACTTTTGGTTGGGCAAAAGGGACTTTGTACGCGATTTCTGGGGCCCTCTTTTGAATTTGTTTCCCATGCCGGGTAGGGCTATGTTTCGGGTTGCTCAGAAAGAGGGAACACAGAGGGTCCAGTTGCATGTGGGGCTGCGTGAAGGCTCCCCTGGGGAGTTCAGTTGTACCCAAAGCCTTCCTTTGGGAGCACTTTTGGTTGGGCAAAAGGGACTTTGTACGCGATTTCTGGGGCCCTCTTTTGAATTTGTTTCCCATGCCGGGTAGGGCTATGTTTCGGGTTGCTCAGAAAGAGGGAACACAGAGGGTCCAGTTGCATGTGGGGCTGCGTGAAGGCTCCCCTGGGGAGTTCAGTTGTACCCAAATCCTTCCTAAGGGGGCACTTTTTGATGGGCGAAAGGGGCGTTGAACTCATTATCTCGGGCCCTCTTTTAAATTAGTCTCCCATGCCGGGTAGGATTATGATTCGGGTTGCTCAGAAAGTGCGAATACAGAGGGTCCAGTTGCATGTGGGGCTGCGTGAAGGCTCCCCTGGGGAGTTCAGTTGTACCCAAAGCCTTCCATTGGGGGTACTTCTGGATGTGTGAAAGGGGCTTTGAACGCCTTTTCTCGGGCCATATTTTGAATTCTTCTCCCATGCCGGGTAGGATTATGATTCGGGTTGCTCAGGAAGAGCGAATACAGAGGGTCCAGTTGCATGTGGGGCTGCGTGAAGGCTCCCCTGGGGAGTTCAGTTGTACCCAAAGCCTTCCATTGGGGACACTTATGGTTGGCGAAAGGAGTCTTGAAAGCCTTTTCTCAGGCCATATTTTCAATTCCTCTCGCATGCCAGGTAGAGCTATGTTTCTGGTTGCTCACAAAGGGCGAACACAGAGGGTCCAGTTGCTTGTGGGGCTGCGTGAAGGCTCCCCTGGGGAGTTCATTTGTACCCAAAGCCTTCCTTTGGGGGCACTTTTGGATGGGCGAAAGGGACTCGCAATGCGTTTTATGAGGTTCGCTTTTTCAGTTTTCTCCCATTGCGGCTATTGCTACTTTTAGGCTTGCTGTGAAAGAGCGAATAAGGAGGGTCTAGTTGCATGTGGGGCTGCGTGAAGGCTCCCCTGGGGAGTTCACTTGTACCCAAAGCCTTCCTCAGGGGGCACTTTTGGATGGGCGAAAGGGACTTGTAACGCTTTTTCTGGGCCCGATTTTTCAGTCATCTCCCATTCCGGCTACGGATATATTTAGTGTTGCTCGGAAAAAGCGAACACGGAGGGTCCAGTTGCATGTGGGGCTGTGTAAAGGTTCCCCTAGTGATTTCACTTGTACCCAAAGCCTTCCATTGGGGGCACTTTAGGATGGGCGAAAGGGTCTTTGAATGCGTTTTCTGGGGCCGTATTTTCAATTCCTCTCCCATACCGACTAGGGCTATGATTCGTGTTGCTCGGAAAGAGAGAACACAGAGGGTCCAGCTGCATGTGGGGCTTCATAAAGCTCCCCTGGGGAGTTCAGATGTACCGAAAGCCTTCCCTTGGGGCACTTTTGGATGGGCGAATGAGGCTTTTAAAGCGTTTTATTTGGCCCGATTTTTCAGTCGTCTCCGATGCCGGCTAGGGATATATTTAGGCTTGCTGTGAAAGAGCGAATAAGGAGGGTCCAGTTGCATGTGGGGCTGCGTAAAGGCTCCCCTGGGGAGTTCAGTTGTACCCAAAGCCTTTCTTTGGGGGCACTCTTGGATGGTCCAAGGGGACTCAGAACACGTGTTCTGGGGCATGAGTTTTCAGTCGTCTGCCATGCCGTCTAGGGATATATTTAGGGTTGCTCAGAAACTGTGACCCCGGAGGGTCCAGTTGCATGCGGGGCTGCATAAAGGCTCCCCTGGGGAGTTCACTTGTACCCAAAGCCTTCCTTTGGGGGCACTTTTGGATGGGCGAAATGGTCTTGTAACGCCTTTTCTTTGGCCCGATTTTTCAGTCATCTCCGATGCTGGGTAGGGCTATATTTATATTTGCTCGAAAACAGCAAACCCAGAGGGTCCAGTTGCATGTGGTTCTGCAAAAAGGCTCCCCTGGGGAGTTCACTTGTACCCAAAGCCTTCCTTTGGGGGCACTTCTGGATGGGCGAAATGGTCTTGTAACGCGTTTTCTTTGGCCCGATTTTTCAGTCGTCTCCGATGCCGGCTAGGGCTATATTTATATTTGCTCGAAAACAGCGAACCCAGACGGTCCAGTTGCATGTGGGTCTGCAAAAAGGCTCCCCTGGGGAGTTCACTTGTACCCAAAGCCTTCCTCTGGGGGCACTTTGGATGGGCGAAAGGGTCTAATAACCCGTTTTCTGGGGCCCGAGTTTTCAGTCGTCTCCAATGCTGGCTAGGGCTATATTTATGTTTTCTCGAAAACAGAAAACCCGGAGGGTCCAGTTGCATGTGGGGCTGCATAAAGGCTCCCCTGGGGAATTCACTTGTACCCAAAGCCTTCCTTTGGGGGCACTTCTGGATGGGCGAAAGGGACTCGCAATGCGTTTTCTGGGGCTCGATTTTTCAGTCGTCTCCCATGCTGGCTAGTGATATGTTTAGGATTGTTCGGAAAGAGCGAACCTGGACGGTCCAGTTGCATGTGGGGATGCGTAAAGGCTCCCCTGGGGAGTTCACTTGTACCCAAAGCCTTCCTCTGGAGGCACTTTTGGATGGGTGAAAGGGGCTCGGAACGAATTTTCTGGGTCTCGACTTTTCAGTCATCTCTGATGCCGGCCAGGGCTATATTTAGGTTTTCTCAGAAACAGCGAACCCGGAGGGTCCAGTTGCATGTGGGGCTGCGTGAAGTCTCCCCTGGGGAGTTCAGTTGTACCCAAACCCTTTCTATGGGGGCACTTTTTGATGGGCGAAAGGGGCTTTTAACGCATTTTCTGGGGCCATATTTTGAATTCCTCTCGCATGCTGGGTAGGGCTATGTTTCGGGTTGCTCAGAAAGAGGGAACACAGAGGGTCCAGTGGCATTTGGGACTGCGTGAAGGCTCCCCTGGGGAGTTCACTTGTACCCAAAGCCTTCCTCTGGAGGCACATTTGGATGGGCGAAAGGGGCTCGGAACGCATTTTCTGGGTCCCGAGTTTTCAGTCGTCTGCCATACCGGCTAGGGCTATATATAGGGTTGCTCAGAAACAGCGAACCCGGAGGGTCCAGTTGCATGTGGGGCTGCATAAAGGCTCCCCTGGGGAGTTCACTTGTACCCAAAGCCTTCCATTGGGGGCACTTTTGGATGGGCTAAAGGGACTTGTAATGCGATTTCTGAGGCCCGCTTTTTCAGTCTTCTCCCATTGCGGCCAGGGATATATTTAGTGTTGAGGTGAAAGACTGAACCCGAAGGGTCCAGTTGCATGTGGGGCTGCATGAATGCTCCCCTGGGGAGTTCAATTATAGCCAAAGCCTTCCTTTGGGGGCACTTTTGGATGGTCCATAGAGACTCGCAATGCGTTTTCTGGGGCCCGCTTTTTCAGTCTCCTCCCATGCCGGCTAGGGCTATGTTTAGGGTTGCTCGGAAAGAGCGAACCCGGAGGGTCCAGTTGCATGTGGGGCTGCATAAAGGCTCCCCCGGGGAGTTCAGATATACCCAAAGCCTTCCTTTGGGGGCACTTTTGGATGGGCGAAAGGGGTTCGGAATTGGTGTTCTGCGGCATGAGTTTTCAGTCTTCTCCCATTGCGGCTACGTCTATATTTAGGTTTGTTGTGAAAGAGTGAACCCGGAGGGTCCAGTTGCATGTGGGGCTGCATAAAGGCTCCCCTGGGGAGTTCACTTGTACACAAAGCCTTCCATTGGGGGCTCTTTTGGATGGTCCAAAGGGATTCGCAATATGTTTACTGAGGCCCGCTTTTTCAGTCTTCGCCCATTGCGCCGAGGGCTATATTTAGGCTTGAGGTGAAAGAGCGAATATGGAGGGTCCAGTTGCATGTGGGGCTGCATAAAGGCTCCCCTGGGGAGTTCACTTGTACACAAAGCCTTCCATTGGGGGCTCTTTTGGA